GATGGATGGATGGATGGATGGATAGATAGATGGGTAGATGGATAGATTAATATATAGATCAATTGATAGATAGATTGAACTATATATATATGCCTATATATATATATATATATAGCTATTAACAGAATAATATTATTCCTTCTGTTACACTCATACTTGACTTGATGTTAATTTGAAGCTTTTGCATGGATAAGTTCTAGTTCGGACTATGTCTGTTATGTGACGTCCACTTTTATTCAAAAACCAGAAAGTTTCGTAAAGTTCATCAACTTGAACCTCAGTGAAACACAAAACCACGGAAGAACAACGTGAAACAGTATTCGTCTGACGTTGAGATCGACCTAAACATCTCTTGCCTTATTATACTCTTTCACACGAAATGAAAGTCACCAAAACAGTGTTAATTCAGAAGGCTCATCAAAACCAGGTTGCTGTTCCTATCGGAACTACTAAGTTGCATTAGTAATAGGGGCTCAATTCGGTTCTTAATTTTCAATATACTGTAAGCTCTAAATTGAGTAGAGGGTAAAACCAGCTTAACTGCATAGGCAATGTGAGGATCTCAGAGCTCTATCATTGGGAAATCGCTAAATTTATGTTTGTTGCGTTCACTTACTCTTCAGAGTATGACCAAAACTGTCTCAATCTTATCAATGTGCCTAGTCTCAGGATCAACTTTGTCATCACAAAGCTGTCATCTCTGCTTATGATTATAACGATCTATCGAACCATCGTAGCTTTGCTACTTGCTAGTTATGGCAAATATTTGCTGCTATGTCCAATAATTTAGGCAAAATTCTGTTCGCTATCTTAAATTACAAGACGAGCAGGAAAGACTTCTGCCCAAGACGTTTTCATAAAGTATGTTAGGAGGCTGGAAATTTTGTTGGCAGGGTAAAGAAGTGTACGGTGCCTAAAAGTATTTCTCCTGACCCAGATGACGTACTGTATGCCACCTTGACTAGATGTGAGACAAATTTCATATGCTCGTAAACTTTAAGTGCCTGTTCGACTTCATTTGTATTAGAAACACTCCCACAGTCCACAATGAAATTAAAGGTGGGCATGTGCATTTTTAGTAAATTTGAATACTGACAGGGCAGAGTGAGGGCTAGAGTCGAGTCCTCGATGCTGAGGAGGCAGAACTTGCACCATTCCTGCTCTCTCTAAAAGAAAATCACCCCTTCTCGAGGGTTGAAGAAGGTCAGCGCCTGGCATGGATGTTAAAGGGTTTACGAGGCAAGTACGAGAACTACATAAAATGTTTATTCAGCTCTGCAAAGAATACAAGACGCAGGGCAAGTCGGGGAAGCACTTTCGGACAATTTACTGGGGTCTCGACTGCCAGACAGTGAAAGAGGGCAAAAGAAGTAGAATTAAGATCGATCTAATCGGGACAGATAAGACGAGATTAGGTTAGAGAGGGTCAGAAGGACAGCATTATGGCACCAGAAGGCCGCATCTGTGGACCACCTTTTAACTGGAGTCTTGCGATGATCAAAGATGACTCAAATAGTGAATAACTCGAGCTAATAGCACGAGGACCCAAAGTATGGACATGCCAGGTGAAGAAAGTATGAGCAACAATTATTCACTTTAAGGTCACTTGCACTTCGTCCGAAATTATGCAATGCTAAAATATTTGATTGGCTGTTGAGAGCATTTTTGTAATGTTGCAATAAACCGGATACATTTTAGCCATATTTAAGTATATCTGTGTATTTGTGTTTAGATGTGCATCGGAAGTGGAGTTTATTCCAGAACCTTGTCAAAGTGATTATTCTCCCTGTATGCCACTAAACACCAAAACCGGGCTAATGTAAGAAGCGGCAAGTAATTTTTTTCGAAGCGTGGCCAACTGTTATTATCAACAAGAGAGCAACAACCCTGCATGGAAATCGTATCTTTGACCTGTGCATGCTAAATTGTTGACCGTAGAGGAAGGGTTGGTGCGAGCGGTCGTGCGTAGGTGAGAGAATTCCACTCAGTCTCAAACAGTTCAGGACACTGAAGCAATCACATGCGCCTCAGGATGTCTACCATTATCTAAGAATGGCAGTCCATCATTAGACACTAACCTTTGGCCTCAGTGGCTCGAATGAGGCCGAAAAGCTTAAATTTAAATTTAAAAATCAAAGAGCTAGCTTTACACCATTCTAGTAACCGAGTTCTAGGGTACTCGTTGAGTCATTCCAGCGGATTTTGTGCAGCTTGATTAACAAGACAGAGCATTTCATTCATGTGGCTGAGTAATTTCATAATATGCAACCCCTGAAGACTACTTATATGACTTTATGAGTAGCATAATTCTTTGAAGGCATAGGCTGCATAAAACATGGCAATAGATGAGTATAGGAATTAGGCAAATAAATTCACCGATTGCAATTGAGATTAGCTTGGAAATAAAATTATAGGCTGATGAAATGTAGATGGACTCAACAATTCATTATTCCTCTGTATTATTCATCTCAAGGTCTACGCCTCAGTAGGTTCTATGTTTAAAACAAGCCTAGATTTTATTGCTGCCCTGTCTTAACAGCAATTGAAAGAGTCATCCGTATTTGCGTTAGCATACCTTATATTTAGGCTTCCTCCATGTGGACAGGGTTGCCAGACTGTTGGGTTCTCAACAGCCCCCTTCCTCATTTCAGACGCAGAGACACTCTGAAGATGAAGTCATACGACCAGGCTGCCAAACTGATAGACTCCTTGTTGTCCTCAAGTCAGGCCAAAGTGGCCTCCACTACGCGCCAGCAATATTATTTGTGAATGTACCTGTGTGCGTGTGTGTGTGTGTGTTTGTGCGTGTGTGCATGTGGGTGGGTGTGTGGCGAGAGTTTATGGGGGGTTCAGATAATAAGCATGAGTGACTTCTGCCACAAGAAAGATATGGTATCTGTCGCTCTCTCTTTATATCTCTCTCAGAGATGATAGAGCAGTAGGTTCTCTTCTTCTGGCTGGAGGCATTGTGTTGAGTGTATGGCGAAGTTAATACTGACTATCTGCCAGGGCTCTTGTGTTTTCTCATGTTCTAGCCTATCTAACGGCCAGTTAGTGTACGCAGTTCCAGGATAGTTGTTGCCCGAAATTACATGTGACCCGCTTTGTGTTTGGTGAAAAACGCAAATGGGCGGGCACTAGGCGAGAACCTCCAATGTTACTGTTTGAACGTAACCAGCCTACATGACAATTTGACAGCGGCTGATATCACCCTTTCTAGTATCTGCAAGTCTTTGGGTTGCATTCTATTGGATCTAAGACGGTCGAGTGGAACGCTGTGGATGGGTATAGGAAGAGTAGCTGGACTTTGAAGAAGCCCTTAATGTCCTCATGCTGGTGTACCTTTCATTTCGTTTGAAAAGGTGATTGGATGGTCTTGGAAAATTGGCCGCACCGGAGACCATTAGTGTTAAGTTGAGTGTAGACCTATTCGGCTCTCTAGCGCCACTGCTGGGCCTTCAACATGCCTGAATGGACGGCCGTTACATCCGAAAGGTATGCAACAATTCTGCACAAAACTTTCAACGAGCACTAAACCAAGAATGTTGATCGGTTGTCACAC